AAAAAGGGAGAGGATTTTAGAAAGACAGAAGATAGAGGGAGGAGACTCCTGATAATCAGATTACTGCTCTTCTAGGGAAGCCAGAGATAATACAAGGTATATCTTGGGGTTTGACATTCTATATACTATAGCTGTGCGTAGATGCCTCGGTTTGGATCCAGGGGCAGTTACTCTCTTCAGGCTTACTATATGAAGAGAGACATACAGAGAGAGGAATCAACATTGTACAAGTGCACAATGAATCGTGGGTGGACCAAAACTCAAGTCAAGGCACTTTTAGGTACTTAATTGAGGAGTTTCTTTCTACAGTTACTCGGAAAAGACTGACATCTCTAGGTAGCCCAAAAAAAGCCTTATGTGTTTCCATTGCATTTCTCTCTACAGCGAGTAAACAGATAGTCCTATTTATACCCCAGGCTTTTCTGGTCTTTTTTTCAACTATCTGAATCCTGTATGGATTGTGTGGAAGAGCTGGGTTGAACTGAGGGCAGAGTTTGAGAGAGTCTCTTGTTACAACATGGCCCCTTTGTTCCTCTCCTGATGCCAGGATATGTGACAGCACAAAACTCTTCGGAATCGATTTAGTACTGACACTGGCTCATTGTCGCTGAACTCAGTTGCTACTACCATTTGCAGCTTCACTGCTGAGACCTTGGTTTACAAGGCCTTAAGTCCTTAAGAACTAATCCAACATAAAACTACATTTAAAGCTGTTACACTGTGCTTTTAGTGATTAAAGAAAACAGTCTATTTTATTATCAAGCAGGCATGCAGTAAAGACCTGAGGTATTTAAAAAAAATATTTGGGTATCAGCATAGGTATATTTGGAAAATACAGAAAACGTAATTATTTTCACTGGACTTTGTTGCTAATAATTATTTTGCTGCAAACCTGGACACTGAATCATATCAGAAATAACAGAAGGGGTAAGAGCTCAGGAAGATACACTTGCAAAGGTGGGCTTTGGAGACAGAAGAGTCAGCCTGAGGTGGAGTAGCTGCTTTATCCAGGAAAATACTGTTGTAAAAAGTATGTCACAGACTTACCCCCTTGTTCTGCCCTATCCTGTACAGGGTTTTGATTTTGCTCATTCTCTTTGCTCTGCTTCTGTGGCCCCTCTGGTCTAACCTGGGCAACTGGATTTGCTACCCCACATGGTGACCCACAGCCATTTGAATACGGCACATGGAAATTAAAGATAAAACTGTAGACAAGCTCTCTTGGGACAGTAGTTAATATTCTAGAGCTTACACAGTTCTTACAGCTAGGAAGCCCAAAGACATCTTCAAACATGAATTATCTGTCTCCATAGCAAAACTGTATAGTGTAATGTAAACTTGTTTATAAACTAATTGGTTCAGATCAGTTCAAATCCCAAAATGGGCACTCCTCCTTTAGAGTGTCCCCATTAATTTAACATGAAAAAGTGGGAAAAAACCTAATTCTTAGAGCAACCCAAGTGTGACTATGCAGAGGTTTGCATAGTAGTAGTAGTTTAACTGAAATGCTCACGTGCAATTTAATAACACTTCCCCCTGTAATCAGGCATCTTAACATTCACATGGGGAAAGCAGGCCTCAGTTTACTCATGGCTGACTCCAAGGGTGGGGAGGGTACCATAGTTGTCTGCTATAGGAGCATGGCATATAATAATGCTGTACAATACACAAATGAGTAAGATTGGATCCTGCAGGTTCTCTGATGAAAAAGCTTAGGAAGGAGGCAGTAACCCACAGTCAATTTAACCAAAACAAATTCTCTCTTTAAAGCCACCTAGTCTTACGGAGGTACTCTGTAAAATAAGCCACTCCTACTGCAGTTTTCAATATTCATGTATGCATAAACTTCATGTGCCGTGACAAATGCTAAGAGTTTTGAGGTTATCATTGCTACATAATAAACAAAAAGATTCAACAATACTCTCCTAAATTTCTTTGAAGCAGGGATACTGAGGTTTACAGCCTTTCTGCACCCATAGGTTTACTCTCTCTCCAACCTGACTAAGTGTATGGGGAGTTTACATCCCCAGATTTCATTGAGAAGGTCTTGCTACAGGGATGAAAAGATCATCGTTAAAAAAGGACAGCAGTTAACGATCAGTCCCTTCCCTGGTCTCCTTCCAGTGGCCACTATCCTCTTTGCACACGGTCATCACACATGGATTGAGGTGGAGCAAGGCCTCTGCAGACCTCAATCAGAACTCAATCAGTGTAAAGGTATCTGCAAAATTTTCAGCAACACTTAAGGTGACACTTTTTCTGTGTGTATAGATCTATGTGTTTATGTAAATTACAAATACGTGTATTCATGTGTGGATATGATGTTTTTATGTATAAAAATGGAGCTGCTGTGCAAAATGACTGATTCCTAACATACCAGCTGAATCTATTTTAACACACTTGGGCAAATCTCCCAAATGCTGTATTACAGAAAATTAGTACTATGCACGTTCTCATCTATTAGGCTGGTGATGTTTTCATAGGCAGAAATGCCCATGTGTAAGATGAGAAACATGGAAAAAAATGTTTGTTCAGTCTTCAGTAGGCCTTTGGAGCTATGAGATCTAGCAAACCTCATGCCAGCCAATGCCTGTCTTGAACCGAGTTCATGTCAAGTAAAAATGTACAATGTCTGATTTTTACCACCAAAAGAACCGCCACAGAATTCACACTTTTGTCATTAGAAAATATAAAACATGTTGCAGTTCTGCCTCAGGCTCTTGGAAACTCACATATTTGAAAACTGGTGTTTTGGGTGGGTGAGGAATATTCTACAGAACAGCTATCCCTAAGCTGGGATGGGCCCTGACAGTGCTTGAACAAAAGCACATGGACACTGAAAACCCAGGATTAAAACTGCAGCTTCATCATAGCCATTGCAAGCACACAGGCCTCCAAGTCAAGGTTGGCAGAAGTGAAGTAGCCTGGATTCAGGAGCGACTGAGGAGATTCTGCTTGTAGGGACCTCATGTACTTCGATCCTCTCTCCAAAACTCAAAGCCTACTGACTGACATCGTTCCTTCTGCAGGCTTGCCAGGGGCTCTATCCCCAGGATCCATCCAGCCATACTGAACCGCATCCCCTCATGTGATACCCCACCCACAGAACAACCTCCCAAAGCAATACACCTCTCCTACTTCCTGGAATCCAACAGAGCTCAGTCATTTAACCAAATCTTTATCCAACTGATGGGTACCTATGTCCTTGAAGGAATGTACCTGAAGTCAGATAGCACAAACAACAGCCTTAGAGAGTCATGACTGGCTTCTGAAGTCTTTTTGTCTCTTCCAGATCCAGCTCAGTGGTGTGTTAATTCTTTTTCTGAAATGCCTCCAGTTAAACCCTAAATTATAATGTAATCTAAGATCTTCAGACTTTTTCCCCCCACCCCACACTCAGGTGTTTAAGTATGACATTAGCTAAAAACATGCTTCTGGTGTGTCCCTTTTGTGATCTAATCAGAAAGGGAATGCAAGAGAAACAACATTTTTGTAATTATGCTTTAAAAGATCACTTCTACACATTTTTAAGGCCTAATTTTAGCAACTTGCAGGACTTCTAGGGAAATTCTAAGATAGTAAACCAATCTGCATGATCAAGAGAGAGCACAATCAAGCCTGTGGTAACTCACACCACCTAAACGTGCTTAAAGCAAAAATGGGCTATGCATACAAGTGGAAAACAAACAAACTGCTCAAGCACCCCATGGGCTGCATTAAACAAAGTTGCTATTGCCAGAAATGCATTGACTCGGCCACGTCACAGGAACTGTGCGTTCCGAAACAGAATCAAAATTCAGCTTGCACTGCAGTGCAAAGGCAGCCAGCTCTGGGCCCTGGGGAAGCATGCTGCAAAGCAGGAGGCCTCTGCGAGAGAAATACCTTTCACTGATCTTAGACAGTTCCTAGGCTATGGAGTGTCCCCAGATGATTTCTAACTGCTGCAGTGATGAACAGGCTGAAAGGGAGTCTCTCTGATATAAAAAGCAGGAGAAAAGAGATCAAGTACACAAAGGCTGCTCAAGTCAGACACAAATACCCAAAAAATTTAACTCTAACCGTAGCAAATTGTTTGGAATAGACATAAAATGCAAGTTTCAGAGCTGAAGTCAATGTCTAGGTGAGAAAGAGATCATGAGAAGATGTTTCAATTGGGTGGATTCACCTCTGTCTTCCTACTGCATAGTTAGTCCTCCAGAGCATTTGGGAATGTAGCGACTGCTGTCAGGAAACAGTCTGTTCACACATCTTAATGCCTCCCACTAAAGCTGATCTGTGATCTAAGAAGAGATAGAACCTTTATAGCCAAAACCACTGCAATAACGTAGCTCACTAGGAGAATGTCTACTTAGAACACTGTTAACTTGGTTTGTGCCTTGGAGAAGAGAGAAACCTAAGTATTTTGGGATGGGGTGTGGGATGGGAGGAGATGGGAGAAGCCTTACTGCCCACAGGCACGCTTTCAGTACAAAGCTTGCTGATGGTGAACCACATGGAGCAGAACAACATACATTTCCTGAGCTGGTCTTTCTCTTCACTGGCAAACATTGCTCCTAAAAAAAAAAAAGGTACCTAAACTAATTCTAGAGAAGAGTCTAGATTCTTTGTGTCTTTCAGGCAAATAGAACCTCGTCAAATGAGAAGCAAATGGTGGAATAGCACAGCAGCAACAAAAGCTCTGATCTGCCAGTCAGGGCGTACTGCTGTTCTCATGCAGGGCCTCGACGACTTTAATAAGTCTGCACAGAAGCAGAGCAGTCCCTTTGTACACTATCAACTACGACACCAGGACCTACTTCAGTATTCAGCTCCACACCCCCATCATGTTGGCAATAATTCAGAGTTGGTGAGACAACTTGTAAAGGGGAAAAAAAAAAAAAAAAGCAGTGTTTTAAAGCTCTCTAATTTAACATTAGATTTTTATGTGTCTAACATCAAAGCATTTTTTCACTTCTACTGAATCAAAATTAATCACTAAGATTACTACAGTAATTTATGTTGGAGATTATTAAAATGAGTGTTTTATTAAAATCTGGTTTTATTAATAAAACACATTTAGGCTAAGGAATCATGTGAGTCTGCTGTTAGAGACTATTAACTGGGAACTGGGAGTTAATCATAACAGTCATGCTGCCAGGTCCTTTGACAGCAACACACACTGGGTTTGTTTCTGCTTCTACTTTTACTAGCATATTCAAAGTCAATTAGCTACCCCACCACACGAGCGGTCAGAGTAACTCCTGTAAAACAGGGAAAGGAAACAAAGGTACATACATGTCAGTAGTTTTACACAAAGAAAGGCTAATCCAAGAGAGACTCACCAGCCTGATTAGTTGTGATGCTGACAGCAGCAAATTGCCTGGAGAGCGTACTCAAGTCAGATACCCCGTTGACTGCATCAATCTCAAACGTGTAATTGGTATGTGCCAAAAGGTCCACCACCGTCACCGTGGTGTTGGTGAGTCCAGTCTGACGGGGTAAGAATCGCACGTTGTCACTACACGGCTCACACATCTTGATGTTTCCTCCACATTTTTTACAAATGATGTTGAAAGTGACATCTTTCCGACCTCCAGTGTCAAGAGGCCAGCCCCAGTCCAGGATAACAGATGTCTCATTTATGTTAGAGATAACATTTCTTGGAGCAGATGGCGGTCCTACAAAAGGAAAAAGGAAATCAGAGGGATGAGATTTTCTGTAGTCCTCTAAGATGGGAGTAACAAGGGAACAAAAATACGGACGTCAAAAACATAAATAACCAAACTCTTCTAGTTATTTCCTGTAGAGACTCCTGAAGAACTTCTCTGGACTACAGACCTAGACCATCAAGGACCATGTTTTCTTATAGGCAGACAGTATCCTCAGGCTGTAGCTCAGGACTGAGGGCTAAAAAGATTGGTAACAATTTAAAAATCCTAGCTCTCTTTCTGGAGGCTGACGGAGAACAAGAAGGAGAAAATGAAAATCAAAAGACATAAACCCAGCCCACCAATTTTTGGTAGCCTGTCCAACATGTAAGAAGACATGGGAAGCAGTGGATGGCTGACTGGATGGGACATGAGAGGAAGCAAGCAAGCTGCTGAGATACAGATGGAGGAGCAAGAATGACAGCCCCGAGCAGAATGATGCTACTCACTGGTGCAAGCCATGGATGGAGGGTCTTTCTCAGAGCGAAAGTAATTCTTTTCACACCTGCAGTTCAGAGACGCATCTTCGTAGGTAGAGCTGTGAGGTGGGCATTTGGCACACTTCACGTTGCCGGCAGAGGCTTTGTAGAACCCAGGTCGACAAGCTGCAAAATAACAGGAGTAAAATTTTAAATTCCAGGGACATCTCCTCAGTTTTATCCAGTGCCTTTGTTACTGTTCTGGGACCAATCCATATGTAGATCAAATTTTGCAGACATTTACAGTCTAAAAATTACAGTTTTTTCTCCTAATGAGAAAGCTGATGGAAATAAAATTCCTTGGTAGAATGGAGCTCTTCATGCATCAACTTGGATTTGCATTTAATTTTGCCTGGAAAACAAAACAGTGTATTGCACCACTAAGAAGAAATATTTTCTGTGTTGCATTTTGAGAATTTCACTTATTTTTCACCTCTTCTGGTTAATTTACTAAAACATTCACCCTATCCTGCATAAGAAACCAATTTTATGCCCCCTGTGCTGCCAAGGTTTGCTTACAAGGGCATGCTAATTGTAAACTGTGTCTCTTCAGTACAGCAGGACTAAGCAAGCCAAACCCAAGAAAATAACCTGAACAGTGAAAGATTGATCCCAGTTCTAAAGGAACTGAAGGGTCAGGCTCAGTGAGACGCTTCTGATACTATCAGGAACTCGCACGGTCTGTATGGGGAGAATGCTTTTGACAATAAGACAGTCCCCTAGGGATGGTGCTTGAGCCCACAAAAGCTGCTTGTAAAAGACTCCGGGTGGTGGTGTTTCATTAACACTGTCACCCTCCTGTTTTGACTCCTGTGGCATTTTAGACTGATTCAGGGTCACGTTTGCCTCAGAAGAAAACAGTCTTTGAAGTAAGTTACAGAAATGAACAATTTAGCAAATAACCTTTCCTGAAAAACCCATGCAGTGAAATAACACTGTTGACTTCCTTCCACCAAGATCATGTCGCCATTTGAAAATTAAAAAAAACCCAAAACACCCACAACAAAAAAGTTAAGAATAAGCAGACTCTACTGTTCAGCTGCTGCTTCCCACCAAGACAGGCATCCTTTTCCAAATGGAATTTACCAAGTAAAAACGTCGGGGCTGACACTGGTCATCCACAGGTCTGTACTCCTATCTACAACTACCATACAGAAACAGACAAAAGGTGTAACAAAAGGGAGCACGTCTTAAAACGCATTTGACTTTTTTGCTACACTTCGGTTCCACAACAAATGCTGTCTGTCACACAAGCAGACTAGGAAAACCCCAATACATTCTCATTACAAATATAATGTAAAAAAAAAAAGTAAGAAAAAACACCCAAGACTTCATTTTGTGTCTGGAGCCCAGACAGTTAAGCTTACATAAAATTGCCCAGAACCTGTCACTGAATTAAATGTTAATTTGAAGCTGAAAGAATAGATTCACCAGTCTTAGCATAAGCCTAAACAGGGACAAGCTTCTCACTTTGCTTATGAAGACGAACCAATTCATAAACGTAGCATAAAATCCAAGATGCAAGACTATGTGGTCTTTTGTGTTCACAGAGAAAAGGGTTTGGATGGGTAGCCTGAGGGGGGAAAAAAGTCAGAATAAAAACCCCAGCATCTTTGTAAGTGATGAAGGAGAGGAAGAGGCTGCAGCATGAAACCGGATGTTCAGTTTTCACGTTCTCGTCTGTAACCAAAAGCTAACTGAATATCTGTGTTAGGCAAATGTGTTAATTCCTCGTGCCAAACCTCTGCGTGAAACACACCGGCAAGTAGAGAGAGAACAAACCCCTGCCCTGTCATATGTCCTCCTCTGAAACATCTTAATCATAGAACCATAGAATGGT